ACAGCAGCTGATAATCGTGTCACCCATTTGGTTGATCTTAATCGATCCGATTTCATTTCGATCCCATACTGATATCCAAACAAATGTTCAGCTAATGTCCGGTTAAATCTTTCAACGATAGCTTGACTACGGTGGGCCTCTTTTTCACCACACCTGATTTTGACATCGTGCTTTATTAATAGTTTAGTTACTTAGGTAAGGTCTCAGATGAGTTGGTAGCATGATGGCCTTGAGTGGATCCTGACTCCTGATGTAAGGGTTCAGGAATTGTTGTATTGGGCGTAACTGTAATCGGCCTCTGTTGGTCAGGTCCTGGGCTGAGGTGAGTAACCCTAAAAGCACTTGCCAATGGTGAAGTGTGCGTGATTGACAAAGAGCAGGTGACAGGAGGCGTAAAATCTTGTGCCATCTGTCCCTCGGGACTGATAGGAGGTTCTGATCTGTTTGAATTAGTCCTCCTATGAACTGGAGTCGAAATGATGTAGTTAACTCCGACTTCGCCTCGTTGATTATCCAGCCCAGTTGATATAGTAGCCTTCTGGTGAATTCCTGGTGGCATACTAACGTCGGTGTGTGTTGATGACACAGGAGACAGTCGTCTATGTAAGACTCGAACCAAATGTTCCTCAGGTGTAGAAACGCAGTTATGGGCTTCATTATTCGTGTAAATAGCCACGGGGCCACTGAAATGCCAAATGGGAGTACTGCCCACTGGTAGTGGACCCCATTGAACTGGAACCTGAGGAATCTGCGATCGTTGGGATGGATAAGTATGTGCAGATATGCATCCTGTAGATCGATACTCATCAAGGAATCGAACGCTTTTATGCTGGCTCTGAGTAGTCTCAATGTGATGAGGCGGAAATAGGTTGGATGCTTCAGATAACGCTCGTTGAAGACAGAGAGATTGTGTATCATTCTCATCTTGTCTGAGCCCTTCTTGGGTACCAGGAAGATGTGAGAATAAAACCCGGGTGTTAACGCTGGGGTGTGTATAATCTTTCCAATAGTAAGTCTATGTTGGCCTTTAAAAGGATATGTTGCCTCCTTGGATAATTCCAAGGGAGGGGAGCCGTGGTCAACGGAGGAAAACCTCTATGTCTAGTTGGTAACCGTGGCGTAGAATGTTGAGAATGTAATCGTCCCTGAGGATGCTCCAGTTCTTCCAAAATCGACTCAGTCTCCCGCCTACGCGGATATCGACAATTGGGACGACTGGGGGTAGGAGATCCCAGTCATGACTGTCCAACATTTCAATGTTTGCCCCTCCTATCGCCTCCCTTACTGTGGTATTTACCACGTGGGGATTGATAAGAACCTCAAGGTTTCCCTCTGCCATGCCCTTTACCACGAAAAGAATCTTGCACCTGTCTTTCCTTAAGGCCTGTAATTGCTTGACTTGCCTGATCGCTGGGGAAAATTCTGAGAAACATCCTCCAAAGCCTTGAGTGCCGTTTCATCCCTAGCGTAACCGGAAACTTTGGCATGCATGTCCGAAATCTGTTCGTTGAACAGAGATGAGGAAGACCAAGGTTGACGTAGCAATCTGTGCTTAAACTCTGAGTCCCAAGTAGATAGGGCTAAATAACCCAGTCTCTGAGTGACAGTTATTTCCGCCAACGCGGCTTTAAGATGATTCCTCATATGGTCAATCTGACACTGTTGAAAATCAACTATAGTTTGGAGGTGATCTAGTCGGTTAGGATTATCCTCTGACAGATCCTGCTCTACCGCACGAGTAGACGATGCTAATGCTGATAAAGGTTTTAATACCCTTCGAATTTCTGTTTCAATAAACGCAACTCTGGTATCCTGAACCTTAAGAGTCGTAGGCCTTGACGAGCCTGCCATTTTCTGTATATCCTCATCCAAACTATGTGCCTGGTTTGCTGCCTCAAAGCCATGAATAGGAAATTCATCTTTCCTAAACCTGGGAGGCCTGAATGACGGTGTAAGTGTTAGCCTGGAGAAGTCCTCATCCAAAGATCTAATCATATCTGACATCATAGGGTCAATCAGAATCGACGTGGGATGTGTCCAAATAGTATCTTTTCTATCCACCCCACGACCCGGGGAAGGTACTGAAATGAGGCGGTCAACAATCTGATGAATCAGAACAATGTTGATGTGTACGTCTAGATGGTGAACGACTTCTACTCCGACGTGAAGTTTTACTCCTGACCGAGGGCTTAGATGAACTGCCTGGTGAAAAGGAATCATGAGTTGATGTCCAAGTACGAGCAGGTGTACTGGTACTACTCAACGAAGAATGTACTGTATTATGACTCACAATAGGAGTATTATATACATTAGTCACTGGAGTAGGTGGTAAAATATGTGCCGTAGATGTAATTGATGCAGGTGTCTGATACATAGGCGTAGGCGTAGGCGCAGGATACAATTGTGTCATAGACTGCTGCCACATGGATTGTAGAAAATTTTGCATCAAAACCGAGAGCGCCGCTGGAAACGTCCTAGCTGTGTCGCGACAGGCAGTGATGTGAAGAGTTCAGCTTTGATCACGTGGACAGCGACGGCTTGGTGCAAAAGTGGGATTGTGGAACAGAGCCTTCACCCAAAGACCATCGCTGGTATGCTGTCCCGGGTTTTTTTTGTCGCAAGGTAAGCAGTGAATGCATTAAGAAGTAATGCAGGATAAGTTAAAAATTTACATGATAGTACAGCTCTTCAGATGATGCGTGTGGTGCAGGAACAGAAGAAATTCAGCCAAGAATAGGGGCGTTTCTCAATGCAGAAACTCTCAAAGGAGAGGAGGTGGGGCTGTCTGGGGCCGCCTGCTGTGAGAGTGGATCAGTGTATTTAGCAAGTCTGGTAGTTTGAGGGGGTTGGTGCAGGATATCTCTAAGGCCTCTTGGGCGAACAGCATGTTGATGTTGAAGCGAATATTGTCTGGTTTAAAAGATCTCAGCTAGGTAATCTGACAGCACTTCTTTGCATGTTGTCATGTCCATGGTCATGAGTCATAAGGTGCAGATAACACTTAATAGCAAAACTGGAAAACGGCTTATTCGTTCATTATTATCATACAAGTATTAAGAGAAACAAAGATTTCTTACAGTTTTGGTAAGTATCCTTTGCGTTTTTAAAGAGTATATTTCTTGAGAATTCAAGAACATTGGCAAATACAAGGTTAGAATTCAAAATATTGGGAAACAACAAAATAATAATTAAATACACCAAATTGCTATACAGTTTTAAAAAAAATGGCTGAGTAATAGCCATCAAAAGGTTTTTCAGTATCGTTGCTGTGGACCTGTGCTTGAACTGCTTGAACAAATTGGGGTGTCATCCCTTTTTTATGATTTAAGACAATGGTTAAAAACAAGCTTCCTATCAGATATTAACACAAACAATTTGAACAAAAATGGTAGAGTAATTGCCATAATTTCTTTTTTGTGTGTGTGTCCGTACGGGAGCCAGGCTGGGTAACAACAAGTACCATCTTTTAAAGTCTTTCAGTATGAGGCGACTGGGAATCGAAACCCACAACCTTCAACTCTCCGGGCAGCCGCTCTATCCACTAGGCCACGGAGGCCGTGACAACAGACAACAGACACCAAACAACTGAGGCAGATGCAAGACATACAGGCAACATTAATTGACATTCTGTCAGGTGAGCCAAAAATGCTGCAAAACTGGGTCAAAGGTTGTAAAGCCACAATCAGCCCAAAAATTTATTATGTTATTCCTCACGCCACAAACGCTCATACATGCTGCAGTTTGCATCATAATACCTGCAAAAATAATGTGCAATATATGTATAAAATCCTATCAGAATTCTGTGAGCAGTTTTTAGTGATGCAACAGTTGGGACCCAGTTCCAAAGGCCTTGTATGAAGGATTGATTGATAAATTCAGAGTCTCACAGGACATAGAAGGAACTGAGTAATAGTGAAATCTTTTGTATACACACAAACTTTAGTCATGTGAGCAAATTGTTTTGCTGTGACAAGTCAGTAAATAAACCATCTTCCCGAGGCAAGGGAGTTAACTGACTATAAAAGTCCACCCTTGCCGAACTAGGCTAGTATCGTGGAGTTGAATTTTGGCTGGACTGACGAGTCTATGCATAGGCCAATCAAAATCACGCACCGAAATTGAAATCCGGTTCGTAAACTGTCATGCAGATTTCGGTCGATTGCAGGATTTGCACAGCATGTGCACGTGCAACTCGTTGTCAACAGATATTTTCCAAATCTTTTCAAGTTTTTAATCAAGGTGCTCAGAAGGGACTTAACTTGTAACAACCACTGGTGGCGCTACAATAGAGCCCAGTAATTCCAGCCTAGTTCGGCAGGGGTGGAACCTGGACTTTTAATGTCAGTTAACTCCCTTGCCTCGGGAAGATGTAAATAAACAGATGTCTGTGACCTTTAGAAAATGGACAAACTTAAGGGACTTAAGTTTTGAGACCATGTAATGTCCAGTGTCCACAACAAAAGATTTCACAGCTGTGTCCAGCTTTGTGTTTCAGTATTTATTGTTTCAGTTATATGCAGAATAGTTGCACAGATTTAGTTAGGCGGTATGCCAATGTTACAGCGAATGAAAGTTACCTCTTCACCAGGGGGCAGTGTTTATGTAGTAAATATGTATTGATCCTTGCACCTTGTTGCTTCATGATGGGCTTCACCTATTGGGTAAAGGTTCAGATGGGACTGACCATTACATTCGCTATTGTGCAGTTCCTACTATGTGAGACTCAGAACTCTCATAGTTTCACAGGCCATAAAAGCTAACAATGAATGGACAGACAGTGATATATAACATGATTTTCACCATGCTATAAACTGTCAGACTCTTTGGCTAAGGTGAGGAGTAACTAATGAGCATGCATATAGTAGTAAAAAAGGATGATAATCAGTGCACGACTGATCCAGCTGGCAGGGCTGAGGTATGGAACTCTGCACAGTAAATTGCAATGCCTTTGACAACTGGGCCTCCAACAGCCCTACTTTAAAATGACAGGATAAAATTACCAGAACTAACTTTAACAAGCTTGCCACCAAGTCGGAATGGTCTCTGGAAGTCATTCTGACAATTTGCATATCCCATTCCAAGTCCAACTCCTGCTCCAAATGCCACTGGCCATGGACGACCTGAAAATGACAATGATTTCAGGATATACATAATAATAAACGAAAATATACATGCAAGCAGGAATGAACACCTTCATACAATAGTTCTATTTATTGGATTATGCAGTTTGAAGTTCATGGGTGATGTGAGGTGAAATGGGGTTTAACGTTTGTCACATCATTTGCTCTTTTATCATTACTTTTGGGATGTATTTTGGTAGGGGTAGATGTCATTCTTAATACTGGAAGGGGTCACCCAAACACACCATTTTAACATGTGAAAAGCATGGGTTTTGTCTCTGACTTGATTATATAAAGCCATGTCTTAGCAGTTTTAAGACACAGTTGATCTTTCACTGTCGTGAGACCTGGCAAGGAGAAAGACTTTTGTGAGTATAATATTGTGTTATTTCGAGGATAAATGTGTGGAATAGTTATTTCATGTTTAATTGTAAATAAGATTTGCTTTGCCAAAAGGATTGTCCATCATGGAAATATAGGCTGTTAAATATGTTCTTATCAATGTTCTTAACTTCTTGTATTGAAATACATGATAGTTGTCACCTGCTAGTTGGGCATTTTTCATGATTTCAGGCCTAAGTGTGATTGCTCCTACTTGCGGTCCCTAATTTGTACATCCATCACTGACCTTTGAATGGGACACCTGATGTGAATATTGCTGACTTAACCTGATGTTAAATATTGCTGACTTAAGCTGATGTGAAATATTGCTGACTTAACCTGATGTTAAATATTGCTGACTTAAGCTGATGTGAAATATTGCTGACTTAAGCTGATGTGAAATATTGCTGACTTAACCTGATGTGAAATATTGCTGACTGAACCTGTTGTGAAATATTGCTGACTTAACCTGATGTGAAATATTGCTGACTTAACCTGATGAGAAATATTGCTGACTGTAATAAATGTAATCAACCTAAAGTATTTTTCTTTTCGTTTGTAATAATGTGTGCTGTATGTCCTTAGTTCTGCTTTTGATTTGTGACAACGTCGCATCCTAGATTATTCCACTCATATAGGGACATGCGTGCGTGCGTTTGGCTGCTTGTACTAGTCCTGACTGTTGCCAATTTGATAGTGTTATCCAACTGAGATACCATGCAGCAGTTTAACCTGAATACGTCACTCAGACACAGAACACTGACTCCGAGCTGAATTGTCCTTGTTTTAGCCCCTCAATGCCTAGCACTAGATGCCTTAATGCCTAGAACATGGAGGTGGTCTGACATTCATGGGACATCCATTTCTAAGGTCTCATTTTGGGTCTTACAGAAAACAAAAATAACAAGCATGAAATACTCATGTATTACTACTGTATTTGTAATGAGTAATGAGTAAGAATGCAACTACAATTAGAAGCGACGTTTCGGTGTAGGTTCTAACACTGTTATCAAGCAAGTGAAGTACAGAGTGTGGTTGACAAGAATATATACAGGATAGGAGGCAGTGTTTATACAGTTCAGTAGGTTTAAGATCAGTTACACTGTTGTATTTGTAATGTGTTGTGTTATTACTTAAAAAATTATAAGAGAAGTAAGAGAGATCTTACTTTACTTAAGAGATCAATGAGAGCAGGGGTCACCATGAGGTGTACTGTGAAGTACAGCACCAATCATCTGATGATCTGTGTAGTAGACTGGAGTCTGGAATGCTACAGCACTGGCATGATCAGTAAACAAGAAGTCTAGTGTAGCTCCAAGACAGTGAGTTGGAGAGTGAGTTGAGTCATTTTCCGCACATTAAAGAAATCTTTAAGTTTCAGTTTTTCACTCAGATCACAGTTGAAATACCCAGTAACTAGGCGTGTTCACATTCATGCTGCTTGGAGAGATCATGAAGTTTCTGCATGAAGTTAGTAAGTGAATGCGACAATCGTGTCCATGACTTTTGGAGGAACATACACACAGGCAATGGAGAACTTGCCAACAAGAAAAGAAATGTATTCAATACTGCGATATGAAATTATGTGCCAAGTTTGGTGAAGAATTATTGTACGGTTTTCAAGATCTGCTCCGGAAACAAGGACTTACGCCAGTCTAAATCAAAGTTGTTGCCATGTAAACTTGAAAAATAATTTGTTTTTAAATAATCCCAAACTATCAAAACGCACAAGTTCACCACTAGACCTATCTATGTGCCAAGTTTGGTTAAGGTATCTCTCATGGTTTTTGTGTTCTGCTCCACGAATGAAATGTGACGGACAGCCAGACGGACAGATCACACCCACTCCTACCCACTCCTACCCTTCCACTTCGTGGTGGGGGATAATTAACCAAAATTCTTCATGGCTTTAGAGACCCTCCATTTCATTTCATATTCTTGTGGGCCTGGAAGTTTAGAAAGAGACATCCTTTTCTTTTCTTTTTAGTGGGAAAAGCCTGAGGACAAATTTTCACGGCACCTTCCCAAAATATTTAATGGCTGGTTCTCAGCTCACTGATCATTCAAGGAAATCTATTGAATAAAAACTTAATAAAACATGTTAAATAGTCATGCAATGTACATATACTACTGACAAAAATAAGGAAACTAATTATTTGCATGTGACTATCGTTGAGGTGTACATTTACAGTATCGTGGCATTGCAACATCTAATCACAATGAAATCATGCATGAACATCCACACAGAAGCCAAAACGTGAGTGCCTATAGTGGAACACACAATGACTAATGCAACTGAGCTAGGCACACGCTAAAAAATGTCTCCCATACAGTATCTCAAGGAACAGACAAAACGGCGAATTATGAATGGGACAAGAGTCAAGGCAGTGTTGTAACAAGACCTTGGTATGGCAGGCCTAAAAACATGACACCTAGACAAGATCGTCTCTGTACATTAATTGCAGTACACAATAGATTTTTTTTAGTCCAACCTGCTCCTGTTATCAATAGAGAATTCCATATCATAAAAGGAAAGTGACTCTAAACATCTTCAGTCAAAAACGTCTCTAGGCATGAAAGCAAAGCGTCCTGTAAAGGGTGTGACCCTAACAGCTCACAAAATGGCAAAGTTTGGGGTGGGCAAGGCAACATGAGGGACAGGCTATGTGCTAATGGTGTTACACCATGTTTACAGTTGTATCAAGACTTTGCCTTCAATTCACAGATGGCAGAAAACTTTGACAATTTAGCAAGCGGTATGCCAGGGCAACAGTTCTTGACCATGATCAGTATGGGGAGGGAAGTATCATGGTGTGGGGGCGGCACCACTCATGACAGGTGGTTATTGTGAATAGACATTTGACTGGCAAGAGATAATTCCCCAGAATTATCAACAGATCTTCTGCAAGATGACCACCCCAGACTACATCGTGTACAGGTCATCACCGATTATCTTTAAGGAGGAAGCATACAGATATTGGACTGGTTCACAAAATCCCCTGACATGTCCCCAATAGAACATCTGTGTGATGAACGCCAGAATCCCAGCACCCGCCAATGTTGCCCAGATTGGGTTAGCTCTTCAGGCGGAATGGCACGCAATACCAACGGCAACCATGCTCAAGTTAATCAACAATATGCCATTGAGGTGTTGGACACACCAAACATTGATCTACATCCTGGAAAACAAACAATAATTATCATTGTGTATAATTCTAAGAATACTACCTCTATTACATCATTGCCATAAATTCCTGTTTTGGCTGTCAATCACACTATAAATTTATTTAGATTTTTAACAGACGTCAATCTATCTATAGTTGTGAGGTAAATCCTATCCCTGACAGGAAGCGCAACTGTGCATGCAGAGGGCAGGAAACCATCATATCTTTCATCCAATAACCTCATCTACTAGATGCCAATTATTTGGGGAGGCGGGAGGGACTAGTTTCTGATGTAACAGAGGTAGTATTTTAGAATTATATATAATGGTAACTATTGTTTGATAATTTCTTTGATAGAGGGACCGGTGGGATCTGGCATCTAGTATCCCTAGATAGATGGCAGCAATTGAATGGTAAATATATATATATGGGAGGTGATATGGCTTGTATTCCAGCTGTATTGAGGCTGTATGACGTCTACTTGTGGTAACCTAGCGGTTTTATGTCTTAGACTGACCTTATTGTGGTTCTGACGTCATTCTATATGACGTCATTTATTCTCCCATTTCAAGTAATGTATGAACAGGATTTACAGTTTTTCCAGCTTGCTGAGTCTCTCTTTTACAACAGTGCTTGGAGGTCAGTACGATGATACGCCTATGACTATCATGTAGGGACCTTTATGTTACTTACTTCCCATCAAACACTGATTCCCTGTTACACATGACTGAACCTTAATGCTCTTAGCAACATGTTGAAGGAGTAACTTACATTTTGGAGATATAAATCCTAGGGAATCTTCACCCATCAAACACTGTCTGAGTAGCTGATATGGAATAACCAGCGGCTAGCATCTTTGACAAGATAATTTCCAAGCAAGACTGTGGAATACGTCAAATCTTGGTATATCGTGATGTTCCGGGATATTCAGAGGTTCTTCTCTCCTCTAAGTCTTTCTCTGAGAGTAAGTTCCTGGAGGGATGTTAGGGTGCCTAGGCATGACATTCACCAGTTGCAGCGATCTTGTTGCCTTGCTGAGTGCTTTTAGTTGTGTTCTTTCATAACTGTCTTCCTGTGTGTGTGTGTGTGTGTGTGAGTGTGTGTGAGTGTGTGTGAGTGAGTGAGACTCTGTGTGTGTGTGTGTGTGTGTGTGTGTGTGTGTGTGTGTGTGTGTGTGTGTTAAAGAATACCCTTGTTCAGCTGGAATCTTGCCCCTATGTAGACGATATCTTGGGAGAGGATTAATTCAGACTTTGTGGGATGAACCAGGAATCCCAGCTACGTGAGCAACTGAATGAAGAATATGACATTTTTCTTGAACTGTAGCTTGTTTTGGTCTGCAGACAGGAGATCATCTATGTAGCCATGTAGTCTTATAAGATTTTGATGAGTGAAGCCGATGACGGGAGATAAAATCCTGGTGAAGGGGCGATGGAGACGTCAAAGGGAAGGACT